TGGCTCTAGAGTAGGATCATCTGTTTGGGTGGCTATCTCACCTCTGCTTCCTTATGGTTATGCATTCCACGGAGATTTGTTGGTAGCAAAGCAGTGTGATGTGAAGGATCTAGTAGGCGGTACTGAGTTGTATGATTGGTATTTGCATGTATTTTTGCGCCTACTTGATCGCTTTTTTGTTTATATGTTGATATATTGTGGCAGTCCTGCTGTGTGTTGTAGGCCAAGAGACCAGGTGCAACCCGACTGTAAGTTGTAGGCACGGTGGCTCGAGAATAGCGGTTGGGTTGAGGCCGCAGGCCAACATACCCAGGGTAATCCATTCCGATGACTGTGGACCAGTATACATGTTTGTATATGTTCTGTTATGTGTGGTGTTTTGGGGAAACTCACTAAGCTTTGTGATTACCCAGTTGTTTATGTTTTCAGGTTCTATCAGTGATCGTGGGAAGGCGAATGCGTGACTGTACAAACTCATTAACGGCATTGAGGATTCCACGTTTATTATATTACTCTGATTTTCGACAAATGTACAACAATATTATTTATTTTTCTCAACAAACAATTAACCTAATTACCCATTCCCTTTATTCTCACTCTTTGGTCTAAAATGCTAATCTCAAGAGACCTAACCTAAAGGATCTCTATGAGTATATAATACTACTTTAGGGAACCCATAACAATATGTGTTAATAATGTAACCCTGAGGGGATAGAGTACCCGAATGAACAACTTTCCTTTTTCCCTAAAAAGTATGGTCATTAACACCTACATGTGGCGAACCTGCTAGCGTTCCACCCGACTACCTAGAATTGTCAGTAGTCATCATCTATACTATGCTAGATGACTGCTCCTTGTATTACACATAGTACAATGCATGACCTCACACCATTATTTTATTTTTCCAAAAACCCTTTACTACCCGATGCAAATTTAAATATGATAAAGTAATATATACAAGTAAAAATCATATCATATTAATGTATATAGCACAAATATCACGAACACATATAATAAGCACATATAGCATATAAAGGAACTTCATATCTATGTGTAAGCTGAAAGTAACTATGCACTCACTTGTTAAAAGTGGATGCCTCGGAATTTGGGCAACATTTCGCCTTAGCACTTATCTTTTCCATTGACGTGACCCAGGTATGATTGTTATTACGTCTTACTCTGATATTCCTCATGACTAATGATAGTCTAGATTCCTCAACAATCCCAATGTCTACATCAAGATCTATCAAGTAACGAATAACCATATAGGATCATATCGAAAGTAGGGTCTATTTGGTATACATAATATACTGTTTGGATATCCCACTTTAAACACCTCACTAAATCGAGCATAGACATCACTCCCATAAGTAGATCAATCTGTATAATGATTTGGAATCACTGATAAATCTTATTTATAGGTTCATAATAATGATTATGAATATAAATACAAGTTATGTTGAGAACAATACAAGTTTAGCTTAACTTACAGAGATTTCCCTGACAAAAGTCCAGAAATTGCACTCACAGAACTTCGACTCGACAACCTCTAATTGTTGGATTATCCGATGAGTCGTAGCTCCACTAGAACTTCTAAACTACTAGGGAAATTTAAAACAAAACCTCATAGAACTTTGTAGAGAAAAGGACCATATGGTGTGTGGAATGAGGGTTGGAATCAGGTATTTATAGCAAAATTTTGAGGTGCGTGTCGCGTCCTCTAGCCACGTCGATCCTCCTGCCTAGTGAAATGTGTCATCTTTTTGCTGGTCCACGCCCTCTTGTTAGTGCGCGTCGTGCACCACACGTGCTCAAGCGCGCTCGAATTTAAAAAACTTGGAAAAATCTTATTTACTTCATATGAAATTCGTTTTCAACGTTCTTTATATCCACGTGTAGCTATCGACGAGATCTACAGATTTCATTAAGACTCCGCTTGCTTATCTTCATTTTATTTTTAAAGTTATATTTTTAACAGACTTAGACTGTTAAAGTCCGTATAAAAATCATAATTCTCTTATACGAAGTCTGTTCTCGACTATATTTATATCAACATACTCCTAATCATGAAATCTTCAATTCTTGTTTAGATTGTTTTTCCTAACAATCGGACGATCTAAAATTTGGCTTCCGCACTAACATATTTACGCCGAAACTTCGAAAAAATCATAACTTGTCATATGAAGTCAAATTTAGGTGTTACAGTTTTTCATATGAAGTCACACTCTAGGTTCTAAAAATTCTACGACTTTTGCTAAGATCACTTAGGCTAATAAGCAATCGATTACTTCTCATGACGTGCATTGCCGTGTCGGTTTGTTCACGAAACATCAAAGAAGCATAACTTTTTCTAACGAAGCCGGATTTAAATGCTCATTATATCACCAAGATAGTCATTACGTCTTTACTAAGATTATCTAGTATATCCTAAATGTCTTGCCTGAATCTGTGGGTGTTATAGTTGAGATGGTGATCGATTCTTGTGGAGACGAATTTACTGTCAAGATAAATAGCTAGGGTGCTTTGGTTGTCTTGAAAAATGTTTTCATGAGCATTCCAAGCTTGAGATGCAGAGGTGTTAGGTTTTAGACTGGTTTGTATTAGATCGTTTGAAATGGTCCTGTATATCCTTTGGAGGATGATGGTTTCGTATAACCATGTTTCCTATTTAACAACAACCCTAATTTTGTCGTCCTTAGTAGTTGTAGCAAAAGATGGATATGAGGATGTTTGCTTGAAGGAGGATTCGATGTGATTACCAACTTGAAAGATCTGGCGGTTGATACGAAATAATTCATCCCAGGAAGTGTATTGTCCGTTTTCCATCTCAAGGGTAAAAGGAATGAAGTTCCGAATGCTGGTTATTGTGATGGTTGGGTGGTTCTTGGGATCCTTTGAAGAAGAGACGGCTGTTTGAAGAATGAAGAAGATGAATAAGGATGGCATAACGGAGAAGAGGAACCTTTAGGGTTTTTGGTATTCTTTCTTTGATACCATAAAATCTGTTGTATTTTCCTTGATTCACAATGATACAATTGATGTCAATATATACAAAGAGCCTATCTCTATTTATTGGATTTATGTCAACAATAAATGTGTATAATCTACTTTCTATAACAAACCTTTCTCATATTGAGAAAGGGAATAATCATCAGTTAATAGTGGGCTCACCGCCCCATTTCTATAAACAAATGTCGTGATTTTTGCAATATAACCAGGAAGAGCCCTGTTTTTGGTAAAGGCTCCAAGTTTGTTATTGTTTGATGACATTACTCGTATATTGATTGATCAATGTTTGTTACATCTCGAAGATGAAATAAAATCCTATATTATTTAGTGTCTTTATCGAAAAAAGGTTTCAAATATACATGTGGTGATGATATGCTAAATATCTCAAAATGTTCTTTACTTGTTATTAAAGTTGACTTGCAAAAGCCCAATGAATTGTACTATGTCTAGGGTACAAATGTCACTGTTTTCCGCTTCTCATGTGACTTCTAATACTACATTACCTGATTCTCATAACAAATCAGGAGTGAAAGGTTACAACATATGGAATTCTGATATGAGCAAAGTATTTATAAGTTGAAATGTCGTTTTAAACGAAAATGTAATTTATTACTAACTTATAAGCCATTTCAACTCTAAACATGGTTCTTTGCCAAATGTTTTAGGCTCATATCAGGCTTCTCCAAAGCCTATTGATTCCCATGAGAATGCTCAAAATTAGGCGCAACACACTATCGTTTCAGAAAATACCGAAAATCAAGACAATTTGCTCCACCCAGGTAACAATGTTTTATCAACTCCTTCAAGATCGTCACTCGTCACTCTGATCTCATTATACCGCAATTGATAGGCATAGGAGGGTTATTAGACCTCATAGTAGGTTCACTAATGTTGATGATTGAGTAGCTTATCTTTTCTTGGTTGCCTGAGGAAATTGAAAATTATCAAGAGTCGTCATCCTATATCAAAGCAATTTCTACTTCTGATTCTGACAAGTAGATAACTGCAATTCAAGAAGAAATAAAGTCTATAGAAAAGAATCATACCGGGGAACTTGTCAAATTATTCAACAAAAAGAACCTAATTCGGTGTAAATAGCTAGCTGTACAAAAAAAAGGAGGATGCCATATTCAAAACCGGACTTGTTCCAAAAGGCTATACCGTTTTTAAACATAGTTTCATCCATACTTTACTTAGCATTGCTGCAATGCATGATTTCAACAACTTGATGTGAATACCGCCTCCTTACACGGTGTTCTTTTATTCGTTTGTTACATTTTTAATCATTACACCATGCATTCTCGAAATCATGTTATCAATGTTGATGGTGAGATGAAAAAGACTAATAATGGTGTTCTAAAGCGAAAAGACGTTCCTTGCATCTTGACTGCTAGTCGTTTAATGTGAAAGATAACTACACTTCATATTAACATCTTATTTTAGTTGAAGGACCACATGTGTTATCATGTCATACTTCATGGCATAAATCATAAATATACCGCTAAGTAGGGGCAGAACCAGGAGGGTTCCTGAGGTAGCCTATGCTGCTCCATAAATTTTCCCGGTAATTTTTTACTAAATTTTCCGACGTTCTACCCCTTTTTTGGTTCCACCAGTGCTGCAAGTCAAAATTCATTGCATATGTGGTCGTATGGTCACATTAATGTATTTTTATTCTAACGAGGACGATACTTAAAAGGTGAAACTGTATACATTTCATGCCTGCCTCCTATACTATAGATTTTGGAATTAGATTTCAGGTAAGCTTGACCTTAAATCATTTGGAATTATACAGTTATTACTCATTTTGTGAGGACATGACAACATTTAAATTACTCTTCAAAGTTTTTCATTAAATAAAAGGTCAAACTGTATTGATTTCATGAATGTCCCTACCCTTTTTTCTTTATCTACAAAAAAAAAATGTTACATCAACACTTAAACATCAATAATTTCTTCATCCAAATTGAGGCAAAATAATGAAATTACATCTACAACATAACATCGATCACTTTGAGTAAACCAATGGTCTTCTGTAGAATATGATAAACACACATACATCATAAATACACAATGAACTATTTTGGAGATGTTTGTAGCAGATGAATTACTTTATCCAAATTAACAATGGATGAACCAAAAGGAGAGGCACATGCTTTTTCAGCGCTATTCTTCAAGTCGATTGCATTCTTCCTCAACTCGGTCCCCCTTTCTCCATTCATCAACTCAATGACAAGATTGGCAACTTCTTCTCTCTTTACATCATTGTCAATCTCCATGGCAACCTCCCACTTGTTGCAACACGACCAGCAATTTGGTTGCTGGTCACCAAAAAATGGCCAAGAAATCATTGGGACTCCACTGGAAATACTTTCAAGTGTCGAATTCCATCCACTGTGTGTTAAAAACCCTCCAATCGATGCGTGATTCAGAACTTGTTCTTGTGGGCACCAACTAGCCAACATCCCTCTACTGTTTGTCTCTTCCAAAAACTCTGGTGGAAGCATGGCAGAGTTGTCAACCACGAGGTCTGGACGTATTATCCATAAGAACGAATAATTGCTCTTTGCAAGTCCCCAACAAAACTCGACCAGGTGTTGATGTGTCATCACTGTGATGCTACCGAAATTCACATAAATAACTGACGATGGTGGTTTAGAATCTAACCATTTCAAACATTCGTGCTCTTCCTTCCAAAGATTTGATTTGAGGGATGATACAGATTCATCAACAAGTTTCTTCTCTAGTAAATTCAAAGGACCAATTTCATAGCATGGAGGAAATATTGAACCAAGCATCTCCAAAAGGTCACTTTCTAGTTCATGAAAGGTGTTGAATATAACGGCCGAAGCTCTTTTTGCTCTCTCAACTTGTAAACACAAAAACTGAATCATGTATTCGTCACCAGGGTTGGTATTTCTAAAGAATGAAACCATGTCTTTTAGACGTATACCAGGCATGGTTGGTACACAATCTATCTTGGTATCTAAATACCCATCTTCTAAAACACCCGAATCTGTATAAAGAAATAATGAAATTAGCTTCAAATTAGCAACCAAATATGTATAGATATATGAATGTATATACAGACATATATATCTATATTTGAACAAAGATTGAGTGTATATATATTACCTTTTGGCATCAAACCTATCTCTAAAAGATTGGGATACTCATGAAGACACATAAGAGAACCAACACCACTGGTCCATAGGACTATCTCGGGGATATCAAATTCCGTAGCTGCATCATGGGTGAAGCCCATAAGAACGTCAGCCACTATGCAAGTCACCGGAGAAGATGAAGCATTCAGTTTTGTGAGGAGACTTTTAAAGGGACCCAAACAAGTGTTATCGACGGACTTGCATAAGGATGGAACATCTTGGGTGGCATCAGGGTTTTCTGGTGGCGGAAGGCCATCTGGAATAGCTTCAAAACAAAAGGAAGGGAGACCATGTAGGGCGTCGGAGCCCTGAGATCTAAGGAGGCGTTGATGGTTGAATTCGGTGTTAACGAAGGTAATATGAACCCCTTTGGAATGGAGGATTTTAGCAAGTTTTAGCATTGGATTGATATGGCCTTGTGCTGGCGCTGGTATGCACAAGGCATGTGGCTTCTTTTGTATCGAACCCATGGAAGCCTGTGCAGTTAACACATAACATGTGTCTGTTTTATAGGCAAGCAATGGAAAAAGCAAAATCAAAGTCTTCTTTAACATAAAATAATGTTGTTATCGTTTGTTCAGTTTTGACCATGGAAATTTTGTCATTTCTTGCATGATTAATTAAATAAACTTGTTTTATATAACTTTTGTTGAATCTGTAGAACGCTTTCATAACAAAACGTTTTTAACTCTAATCATTTGGTTATTCACGTCTATTTCTCGTCATCAATTGTCATTTATAATATTGATTTAAATTTTAGAGTAGGTTTGTCGTCTTTATTTTTCTTCTTTTTTGTTGTCTTCTTTCAATATTTTTGTAAATGATATATACAGATTAATGAATAACAGGACAAAAGAGGATATCTGTCGTATTAGTTTTATTTATTCTGACGTCTTCTTCTTATCCCTTTCTCTATGTCATCCCTTTCTATATAACCATGTTTAAATTTTGGTCATGTGGTCATTGAGGTTTGCGGTTTGCCTGAAGTGATTTCAAGACATATGGCATAGTCTAATTTTCGCAATATGGAATTAATTGGTGCACAAAAATTGGACGGAAATCCTATTAGGAAAGTTACTTTTCTAAAAAAATAAAATAAATAAAAGACAAACGAAATGAAATACTTCATGTTTTGTTCCATTAGTTGTTTTCCCCGTGATGGCAATGTTCTAGACAAAAAGAGATAGTAGATTCATGATTTAGAAAATAGAGATTCTTGTAATATCCGAATTCGTATTAAACGTGTTAAAGAGATAAACATTGTTTTGCATAGTATTGATCAAAATGTTAATATATATTTCAAGATATGCATTTCAAAAAAAAGTTAGATTCTCGTTTATATCCATCACTAATCATTATAATTTACCTCATCACCACACTATACCATTAAAACCATGAGATACATATTACTAAAATATCATTCCATGTCATTTTTTATAATTAAAATCTAATAAAAAAAATACATTAAAAACATAGATTTTTTATAAAACTATTTTTTTTCATTCAATTAAAATAAGACATTACACTAATAAAAAAAAAGTACATTAATTAAAAAGAAACACAACTTTAAAAAAACATAAAAATGCTAAACATAAATATAAAAACTACCCCCTATTCCTATATTTTGCTCGAAATGACTCTTTCATTGCGAGAAAAATCTTAAGTCTTTGCCCTCGTAGTCCCCCGCTTTCATTTTCAATATCTCCAAATCATTTTTTGTTGAATCGATGTTTGCGCTTCTATAATTTTTTGTTCCACAAGACTTATCATCGCCGCCTTGCTCTCTTGTAGTTAAACATATCGATTAATTTTTTCTCCAAAGCCGACGAGGCAATTTTCTTTGCTTTATTTCTTCCGATGGGCCGAAGAAGAGGTTGCTCATCTTCAAGGTCTATCGGGTCATCGTTGATGTCGATGTATGTTCGCACGTCCGATTATTGGGAAGTTGCATCGGGGTTTCTTGCACGCTTTGAACTGCAGAATGTTTGTCAAGTTCTTTCGGTTTGCTCTTTCCAATTTGGAGCATCCTCCACTTTTAGCCACGATTTGAGATATGGAAAAAGTTTGTGGGTTGTTGTTGTTTTTTCTATATTGATCCAAGGTCGCCTTAAACACATCGGAATCGCTTTGACCCGCTTTTATGTAGGTTGTTGAGGTTGTTTTAAATTCCGCCAAATTCTATACATTTAGCCTCAAATCAGGCCACTTATAGCTAATTTGGTCGGGATTTCGACTTTCATTCCTGTTAAATCATAGAACACGTTTCACACTTTTTCCCAAAAACAGTTAAGGGTTTGATTGTCTCCTTCAATTAGTTCATTGGAAGCAGATACCCACGCCTATGCTTGATGGGTTTTATGCATAAGAAACAATCCTATGTGCTCATACAAACCCTAATGCTTGGATCTAGGTTTCTCTATTGTACATGCTTTGAATCCAAGACTTACAAACCCTAGATCTATCAAATAAGAACTGAAATAAAGGGTTTAGTAATTACCTTTGATTGTTATATAGCAATAACAATCAATCCTTGCTTTGATTTGCTTCAGAAAGCTTAGTGCCTCAAGTGTTGCACCTCTAATGGAGTCACAAACACCACTAAGCAACATGGATGAAGAGGGAGGAGAGAGGAGGCAGCCAAAACGTCCAGAAACCCTAATCTAAGAGTTGTCCACGTTTTTGGGCATAAAGGCCTTTTTATATAGGTGTAGGCTATTAGGGTTTACAACTAGGAAACCCTAATCTGACTGCTTAGGCCCTAAGCAGCCCATGGATCCATTTCTTTAGAATCATGGACGAAATCTTATGGGCTTCCCCATAACTTTTGTCCACTCCACTCTATGGAGTCCATTAGCCCACTCTTGCAATTATCTTATGATTACAATTCCATTCCCTTAAGTTTAATTAATCTCTTTTAGTCACAAAATTAATTCATAATTAATTCTCGACTAATATTAATTAAACAATATGATTTCTCCTTTAATATATTATTCTTATAATATATTAATAAATCATAATTCTCCTTAATTCATCCTACATATTGCTATGGTGAAGGCAACCCAAAAGGACCATGCTCATAATCGGGTCAAGTACATACCAAAACAGTTATGGACTTAGACACTAATCCAACAGTCTCCCACTTGGATAAGTCTAATAACTATTCTGCGTATGACTTCAGAACCTGATCAGCAATCGTAGCTTTCAAAGCCGCTGTCAACTCTGATCTTATCAGATACGCGTGTCCTTTAGATAAGGGATTATATATTCCTCCATTCTACAAGATATCGTATAGACATGAGGCATGGTTTGAAATCATTCTCTCAGTCTACGTGTCGTTTCCCGATTTCCGATTTATGACAACTGACTAATTGAACAAATCAAATCAGTCCTGGCCCGACCGAACACTTTCCTTTGTCATCACTAAATCATCGAGGGGCCCACAGATATCGCTTTTATCCCACTTTGGGTAAAAGGAATGGATAAACTTTGACTCAAATGCTTGCTTGCACCTACTAATCGAATCACACACAACAATAAGTTTTATAACACCAAGTTACTGGTGCGTTTACTTATCATCAATGTGCAACTGATCAGCAAGTAACAACTCACACGTCTTGGTTTCAAGAATATACAATATTATCGTCTCACCAATCACTCGTGATAAAACCATGAAGTGATTCAAGTGAGCGTGGGTTTAATCCAATACTTTAATCTTATCAAAGCACTCATGAACTCTGCAGCAAACTTGTGCTATGTCTAAACACTTTACACAATCTATAGACAGATTGATGACAGTCTTCCTTCATACTTACTTCCAACGTATGACCGACTGTGGAGGTTCGAATAACCTAGTTATTCTGGAAGTCAAAACATGCAAAATGAAACGCAATAATAATATTAATCCTATATGGCCCCAAAACTTTTGAGCGTAAATAAAAACACTTTTATTTAAACACCATATTGATTACTCATTATTCATTTCTTACTGTTTCAGAAAATCAACTTATTACTCGAATTATAACCACAATTGTCCCATGCTCCAAGCATGCACACTTTGGTTTCCTATGGTCCATACTTTATGAAATAGATCACTTGGAAAACTTTTCCAATGAAACTCATTTCACAATCCCCAATATGTCAGATTCTAACATTTTATGCAACGATCTTGTCGTAAAGTCATAGCACAAAAGACATCAAGACTTGGCCAATGAAATCACAAAGTACTCTATCTGAAATTGTTACAAAACAATTATATAGATGTGATGTCTCTCACTCAAAGTACGTTCCTTTGAACATCCTTTTTGCATAAAAGTTTCTAATCTAGACATATTTCTTAATATCCAACTCCCATTAATGGAAACATTTCCATATTTGCCATATGACACCTCATTCTTCATAGAATCTTATCTATTCATAATAATGTCAATATAGTCCATCCAGTACTATACTTCCAACTACTCACAAGCGACAAATCCTCAGTGAACCTCAGATCGTCCTTTGATAGTTGTTTAATTATTTTAGTTAGAACCATTTCTAGTCCCTTTTCCCTCTTAATGCCCTAGGCATTTGGAAAATTTTAGAATGGTCAAATATTATAGCATATGCAATCGATCCTATACCCGAAGCGTATTGGACACGATGCATAATGTCTCATATAAAGACGTGATACTTTATCAGCCTTCTGCCATAATATTTTATGTGCCATGTTCCCGCAATTCGAACTATGAAGAGGGATGCCGTAATCATAATCGAATTTTGAGAATGCACTATGTATCCTTGACTAAATTTATTAACATTTCTCGATCTAAGCTATAGAATTTTGAAACGAAGTATAATATTCTCTCCCTTAATTATAGCAAAACAACTTTTCAACCCTTGCAACTTTGCAAAGTGAATCTTTGTTTTCTATAATTAATATTGCTAACTTGCAATACTTACCATAATAATCATGCTCCCACTAACATGATGATTATTTTCTTACCAGCATAACACTTATGCTCCCACTAGCTTTGACATGTATTCAGAAAACAATTGAACTTCTAGAAAACAATGCTTATTGAATTCCTTAAGTTCATATTTCTAATACCTAATGCTTTGATAAGCCTTTATCTAAGTTTTTAAGCTCATACACCTTTGCCTTAGATATCTCACATGTGTGTCTAAACAATTCAAAATTTATGTTACTAAGTCCCAAATGTTCAGATTAATTGCCAAATCTCACAATTCGAACTATGAAAAGGGATGCCGTAATCATAATCGAATTTGAGAATACAATTTTCTCAATTGCTATCTTCTTAAAATCTCTCTTAGTGAAAGCATTTCCTCACAATCATTTTCATGAAGGAGGAAAACCTTATGACACTTAGATTTTATGATGTATGTGTTCCTATCCATGTGAATTTGTCAAAACGAAAGTTCGCGGCAAATCTAGAACCATAGGGACTGAACTTGTTCAATCTTGATTTCTTGCCTCATGGTAACATGAATGCCCACCATGTCTTCCAAGCAACT